TTAAACAGAATTTGTCATAGTAATGTTTTTCTAATTTTTAAATTTTCATATTGACAGTGTCAAAACAAACGGTTGTCTTTCGGGTCCTGAAGGTTTGTAGTTCTGAATCTTGGAACTACCAAAATAGAAGTGTTCTGAAGACCTACCTCTTCTATCAGCTTCCGACTGAACCTTTCTCCCCAGTCTTCGTTTTTATACTGTTCATGGAAAAGGGCAATAGAAAATTACTATTATTGTTCTTTTCACTTAATATTAACCAAGCGTCATCTAAGCTTTTTTCCATCAAATACATATTCTCCTCAGAGCCCACAGAAACAATGATGATATTTCTCCAGCTGTAACAAGACAAACAATACTTGGTCATTTTACATACAGTGGAATACAACTGAGTAAGTTAGTCAAGGGGTTCAACATATATATGTTTCACGTTTCAGGTGTATTTAAAATTTTCGATATTGTTTTCCTTATTTGATTTTCGATTATGGTAAAAATAAACCCCAAAAGTAATCGCAACAGGAACAACTCCAATATCAAGGGAACTTCACATGATCATTCTCACAAATCACATGACTGCAGCCAAATCCGTTAATGGCTATTACTCAGCAATGTTTGTCCAGAATGTAATGAAATTTGACATTTTATTTGTAAATTGTACAGATTGTAGTTTTTAGAAAATGTTAATTTTTTACCTTGTTGTACCATGTTCTTGTATTCTCTCAAAATTCATATTATGCTTTGCAAAACTTCTGAAACTGGGGAGTTGAACTTTGGCACGTATGTTTCTTCTTCTCATATCATTGGTAAATTTCATTAGATCTTAGCATCAAGTTATTACTTGTGTGTTTTTAACATCAATGCTGATTGCAACTGATCAAGTGGCTATCTCGCTGGCAGGTCGACCTGTTGACTCACATCCAGGAAAACTAACATCCATGCCATGTAACTATTGTTAACATCAGGCGTCACTGCAAGCACTGATTGACACTGTCATGAAACAGGCTGTCTGCATACACCTGAAGTACTCGGGTACTATTGGTAGTAATGGTACTAGTCTGGCAATGTAGATTTACTCCAGTTTGGTATGTGGTAATACTGGTAATTTACTATCACCAGGCAACATGTTTACATGCTCAAGACACCCATCCCTTTACAAAACATATATATTCATGGCATTAACTGCATTTTATTGTTATTCCCTGACAGTCTCTTCTATCATGTCATCCCTTATATCTGTATTATGAATTCAGGCATGAAACAGTACATGAGTTAGTGAGTGAGTTGGTTTTACACTGCTTTGAACAATATTTTGATTCAACATCACCTTCAATTGGGAAGAACATAAAGGGTCATACAGGAAATATTGATCTACAGCTCTCACCCTATCTGACGACCTGAATCATAATACCGGCAAATACTGGATAAAGCCCTGTCATCAGGAGTGAGTGAGTGAGTTTAGTTTTACGTTGCACTCAGCAATATTACAGCTATATGGCGGCGATCTGTAAATAATGGAGCCTGGACCAGGCATTCCAGTGATCAACAGCATGAGCATCGACCTGTGCAACTGGGAACCAACGACATGTGTCAACCAAGCCAGCAAGCCTGACCACCCGATCCCGTTAGTCGCCTCTTACGACAAGCATGGATTACTGAAGGTTCATTCTAACCCGGACCTTCACGGGTCTGTGATCAGGACTGGCTGACTGAGTTTGGTTTTACGCCGCTTTTAGCAATATTCCAGCAATACCACAGCGAGGGACACCAGAAATGGGCTTCGGTCATTGTACCCATGTGGGGATTCGAACCCGGGTCTTCGGCGTGACGAGCCAACGCTTTAACCACTAGACTACCCCACCGGCCCCTGTGATCAGGAGATCCTGGTACATATGACAACATGAATCATAATACTGGCAGACCGCCTCCATGGTGTAGTGGTTAGAGTGTCCGCCCGGAGAGCGGAAGGTCGCAGGTTCGATCCCCGCCGACCGCGTCATACCAAAAGACGTTAAAATATGGTACTTGTTGGTCCCTGCCTGGCGCTCGGCATTAATGGGTACAACAAGGACTGGTCGGCTCGGAGTCAGTATAATGTGTCTGAGTGGGGTATTCATGCTTCACTGTGGCATGGTATCTCAGTGGGCTAGCACTATAAAACCAGCTTCAGTCTGGGCTAGTACAAGCAGTCGCACATACACATACACACAGGCATGCACGTCGTCATATGAGCGAAATATTCTCAAACACGACGTTAAACCCAATTTCACCTCACCTCACCTAATACTGGCAAATGCTGGATAAAAAATGTGATCAGGAGATCCTGGTACATCTGACATGAATCATAATACAGGCAAATGCTGGATAAAACCCTGTGATCAGGACATCCTGGTACATCTGACAACATGAATCATAATACAGGCAAATGCTGGATAAAACCCTGTGATCAGGACATCCTGGTACATCTGACAACACGAATCATAATACAGGCAAATGCTGGATAAAACCCTGTGATCAGGACATCCTGGTACATCTGACAACACGAATCATAATACAGGCAAATACTGGATAAAACCCAGTGATCAGGAGATCCTGGTACAGCCAAGGGAAGCTACTCTGCACAGCATATAGACACACTTTTGACTGTTGGGCTCTCCAGGCCCAGAACAACATATGTTATAGACGTCGAGCATGCTTCTGGGAACACTACTGGACTATTTGAACCATATCAGTTCTAATAAAAAGGAAGGATGTCAATAAAATCTTCTAAATATTGCCCAAAAAAAGGTTTGTTTTATAAAGAATTTGGCACGGCAATGTAATTTTGATTATGATCATTTTGAAATACAGTAAAAATGAAATTCTCCTTGGTTTACCGAATAACATACAGAACATGGTCAGCGAATATCACATCCGCATGTTGGATACTTTGGAAGAGTTCCTTACACAGAGGACACAGGGGACACAGAGATCAACATCAAGACAAACGGAGGAGATACAACAAATACTCCAGAATATATTCACAAAAACTGCAAATATGTTTTGAGACAGCCCCTACGACGATGAATGGAGTACAATGGTTGCAAGTATTCGGTCACGTATCAGATACGCTGTGCACTTGAAACAGAATGGCCAGACGGACTGTATGAGGTGATTTCCTCTACTCAGACAGCATGTAAACATCGTATGTTGATTGCGGCCTGGAAGCAGGCCTGATTACTGTGGTATATAGATATATATGTAGGTAGGTCTGGGGCCGAGAGGTGCAGCACAGATAACACAACCATGTCTGTCACACCAGAATGCCGACATAATAATTATGTCTGCAGTACAAACATTATCGCTATGATTACACAATGCCATTTAGAAAGTGGTCAAATGCAACATATGTCATATTTGGGATTACACTTTCTTAGTAAAGTACAAATTCTAGTACTTTTGGGGTTAATTCCCATCCGGGATTCGAACCCACACCCTCAGAGTCAGGCACCTAATTGCCAGCACACAAAGTCAGCCGCCTAACCCGCTCAGCCACTGCAAATTCCGGCGAAGTAACATATGTTACAAACATTATTCTATAGAAGTAGAGATGTATTTTATGCCTCTCTTTAGGTGAATGAAGTTGTCTTCCGAAACTGGACTAAAACATTCCCAATACTTTAGCTTGTAAACTTGTAGTGATAACAGCACCAAAAAATGCCTTTATATAGTACTGCATTGCATGAAATGTTAAAATACCTCTGAATTATAGAATTATAAAATACAAAAACCCTGCTAGTTCAAACTCCAAGACTTCGGCCTCCTCATCATCATCATGAGATTCGATACATCCTGACATCCCACACTGTAGTCTACTTTGTGGTTACAGATACCAATGACCGATCCCAACATGTTGATCATACCCATCAACTTGAAGAATGTGTGTTTCCAATGTGAGGCCGAGCTGTGTACCATGATATCAAGCATAGCTGCCCATCAAGCACTACAGTGCTGCAGACAATGGTTTCAGCTAGAATATGTTGAATCACATAAACTCATCTTCACTTGGCATTTGTATTTTTGGGGGGGGTTTCAATATGTTTAACTGCCACTGGTCTATTTGGTATTTTAAACCAGTGTTAAACAAATAGTCAAAACTTCATGGCACACATGTATTTGAAGGTGATTTCAAATTTGCCTTGTTTTGTGATAGCAGGGTCACTGTGGTCTTGACATCAGTGACACACACATATCAGTATTTATCAACACCATGCAGACATACGTGTCAATAACACCCATGTAGATATACAATAATATCGCCCATGACAACTTGGTATCTCACAGACATTAGCATAAATGATAAAATCTTGATGGACATTGCCACTCATTTCTATGGGTGGAGTTAAGCTTGTGAATGACAGACTGTTATTACAGATATTCATGCAACATTTTAGATAGATTCTGTTGAAGGAAAATCTAATGGTGAGTTTTCGATTGTTCTTTATCAATATAAAGAATCATGTTTCCATGTTGCAATGCGAGTCGATTACACATGTGAGCATGTCAACTGTCAGGAGGATACACTTGAAACTCATCAAGCTGTAAACTACTGCAACACTGGCACTGAAGGTCCAGATGACAACAGTGATAACCACAGCATATCACCATCGAACAACACTTTCTGGGTTGATCTTTTATGCAACAGTAAGACCTGACAGTATACTTTCAAATGTATTCCTATTACAAGCCAGGAGATCGCAGGTTAAAAGATTTTAATATATTTTTTTTGTTTCTAAACATACCCTATATACCACCTATGACCTTGCCATTTGTACCACATATATAAGTACATGCAATTTCAGATTAACCTACCAGTTTGTTTCAAGTTTGACTTGTAGAACTATGCTTACTTTGATTTGGGATTGAAATATTCTAAACTACAAAACCCTTTTTATTTGTCAGATCCTTTGCTCCTCAAGCATGTGTGACAACAACTTCAACAGATTGAGATGACTCCTTCTACTCACTGGGATGGAGAAAACCTCTGCCACATATTTCAAGATGGCTGCCTCCTGTGACAGGAAGTTGGTGCGGTCTGTCAGATTCCGTCCAATGGATGTACTGAATTCCTTCCGCACAAGGGAGGCTATTGAGTCCACCACGATCAGTTTAACTTTCTTAGTGATAATGTCTTCCTCCAAACTTTTCAACCTGCAATAAGTTTGAACTTATTAATCATGGCAAAAATACAAATATCACAAATTGATATTAAATAAATATATCTGTATAAGTACATTCCCACGTCCTGGTCATATCACCGGGCTTGGATCAATCTTCTGGTTGGTGAGTGAGTGAGTGAGTGAGTGAGTGAGACAGAGTGAGAGTGAGTGAGTGAGTTAGTGAGTGAGGTAGTGAGGTAGGTAGGTAGGTAGGTAGGTAGGTTTGCTGTTTCTAGCAATATTCAAAGCTGGAAACACACAGATGGATTATGCAGTGAATCCAAGATGGTCGCTTTAAATCATTTCCTCAGCCACTGTGCATCACATGTTATCACCAGTAAGGTATTTACATTTTTCCATGTATATATATATTTACTCCCTTCACGAACAACCAGTTCTTCAGTTTCTTTCTTGTTTTGAATTAAATGCTGCTTCAGGTGACAATAAGGGCATTATTTACTACTTCCTGTTGTTGTTATACAACATCTAACAATCATTATACAGGGATACCACTTTCTCTGTATAGATTCCACTACTTTATATATCTGCCTCCCACTACCTGACCAGTGGCCTATTTGTTGATGCCGGGATAGAAATACATTTTTTTCTAAGTGTGCCTTAGGGCACCAGGACAGGATCTTAAATGTGCCTTTCAGAAATCAAGTGTTCCCACATTTTTCAGAATAAATGACTGTAGCAATGATGATGATCATTTGAACCTGTTTTCTGTTATCACTGATATGTCTTCTTCTGTTTAAGATGGCTTTCTTAAGCTTCATTTGTTCTACTTTCCCAACACCTTTAATGGCTAAGAATTTGGTGACAGGTTCACTTGTTCAATATATCAATCATACTCAATTACCTCTTTAATAACCAAACTATCAGTACTCCCATCACTCTAAATGGAAAAACAATTTTTTTTTACATCATCCATCATAATTCCAGTGATTTTCTGGGAGATAAAGTCAATAAATGTTTTTGCCTGTTTGTCATTTGTGTAAGTGTTTTGTTTTGGGGATTAAATGACTAGAAGTGTCTCTAAAACTTTAGGCGTGCCTTAAGAACCTTTTTTATCCATGCCATTTCAATATTTACTGTGCCATGGCATGCTAATATATGAGGTATTTCGAACCCTGTGATATCAGTCATGGTCTTCATCAGCTGCACACAATCGTGAAGACAAAATACAGCAAACATGCTGTAGTCATGACAACCAGTTGTTTATATTTTGTCTACTTAATAAAAACAACAAGACCAGCACCAACGTACACCAACAGGGTGGAAGGGGTTGCACACTTCTCTACATCTTCATTTACATTAAACCACATGGAGTATCTCATGGGGAAAGTTTATAAATCAGATTCAAACATGGCACAAATAAGGTAAATAGAGATATGAATGCTGTCTCAAGATGAGGGATCAGAGAACAGGTAATCAAAGTAGTCAGGGAAATCAGGTTCATAAGATCGGTTTTGCAAAGCTTCACTCATCATTCCATGGTGGTGGTCCGCCAGAAGCCGTTGGTGATACCTGTCTGATACAGATACCTGTGGAATACCACTCCTCTTCCACACTGGCCCCCTTGTGGTAGGGGCCAAAATAGCAGCTTATCAGGGGGCAGGTACACGCTAGGGCGTGGAGTGTAAACATAGGTAGGTAAGTGGTGGAGAGATGCTACTGTGGTGAGTCTTGGGTTATCATCCTGCAGATTGGAGAGACGGGGAATATAGACATTTATACACCTTCCTGATTAGGGGTGCTGTCAAAGAATAATCCTTTTTTCTCTGTGAGAAATTGGTATTTCATGAGTGGTTTATATTTGAAGTTGAACTTTTTGTACATTATGCTGGCTCACTTACTTTTCGGGATTATTTTCTAAAAATAAAATAATCAGCTGTAATGAACACAATTAGAAAACACATAATTAACTTTAATTCAAAAGTTTCACATAAACTGAGATTGTAAACACACTTATCATATGTAATAACAATAAATAATCTGTTCTAGAGAGTGAGCGAGTGAGTGAGCAATGAAGGCACACTAACCTGAGGGCAAGAATTAAAAAGCAATACGATGCTTAATCACTAAACCAACTCATAGCAACATATTTTCCGCAGTTTAGATTTTTCTTTAATTCAACGGCTACTTTACCCAGCAGTTTCACAAGCCAAATTTACTTGAAGCTCTATGGTAAAAATGTGGGTTAGATTGAGCTTATGATAAGAAAGCAAATCGGAGAATAAAATGCCTCATTTCAGAAATCTCATAACAAACCAAGTCCTGAGCTCATCGTGGAAGTTGAGAGTCAATCTTTCACATCAGGACACATAGCTTCAAGGATTCATCGAGTCTGACCATGTGTAGAAAGCGTCAACTCCTCTCTTAAAATTAATATGTATGAGTTTAACACATATTCATCACCGCTTATCAGTGAGAGGTGAGGTGGAAAATTAACAGTTTGTTCCGGATCGGTGGCGAGCGATTGCACCGTTATGGCAACTGTATCACCCCTCGTCAGAGACGGGCAATAATGCTGATGATTGTTTACACAACGTACATTTCTCTCAACCCACTGTTTGTACAACTGTCACAGAAAGTTGATATACATGTACTTTTCTTTAAAAGCATTTTTATATCTCACACGTCACATAATCCAGTTTTCCTAACAAACAACGTTTCCTCGTGAAATCATACAGAGCTTGTTGCCATAAGTTCTGATAAGTTGCTGAAGCCCAAACGTGCAACATGTTTACTTCTGGTCTGATTTAGAGAAGTAAGAAGTAAGTACATCAAATGATCCTGTCATAATGTTTAATTGACTTTCAGAACTTGCCTGGCCGCCCTGGTGGCCATATTGAATATCAGAACAAATTGGGGTCAAAGAAAGGTTACAATTACATTTATGTCCACTGCAAAATCACATACCAAATTTCAGTCAGGCAACCAAAAATCGATATATGCCAATAAGTTTTCTAAATGATTCAATGGCAGCTGACTGGAGTGATTATTAATACAGATCATAATTAATACAGATTGATCTATAAAGCCCTAATGGTATTTTAATACAGCTAGGACAATGGCCCGTGTGACTGAAGACATAATGTTTGTGGATAAGTCAACTCTGTGATGAAGCGCCTCTGAGCAGCACTGGTTTGACATTAGGCACTCTATATGTGCATTATTATTATTAATAATATTATTTGCTATCAAAGACACAACGGCAACATCCTCATCCCCAAATTATCAACCCAGTAATCATTATCTTTACAATAAGAAACTGGTGTCCAATAAGCTCTGAGCAACTTTATAAAACTGAATGAGATAGTTTGTGAGAACCAAGGGGGAAACAATCCCCCTCTTGTGCAGAGTAACACAGATGTGACCCAACTCTAACAGGGAGTTCCAAGACAGATATAAACAGGCAATTATCCAGTAAAACAAGTCCATAAATATCCAAACTGTGGTGGAAATGTGTCTGGTGTGGCAGTGTGTTTAACACTGTAAGCAGGAGGGGCACCTGCACAACACCTGCCACCGATGTATGATCTCTGATTCTCCTCCTCTGATGCTTCCATGGTCATACATATTCTTCCATACAATAATCAGAGGCTTTCAAGCACACAACATAACAACATTAAAACAATGCTTAATATTTTCTTGGAGAAAAAACAAGCAACAAAATTACCAAAGAATGTGTATGATATCATTGTCAAACATTCTGTGTTTGTTGGTGAAGTATATTGGAGTGCCGGACAGCATGGAGGAACAATGGTGTAAATACAGTGTTGTAGGGTGGAGCCAGAGTGACTGGGGTAGAACACAGGGAATCAGATAACAATACAGTGTTGTAGGGTGGAGCCAGAGTGACTGGGGTAGAACACAGGGAATCAGATAACAATACAGTGTTGTAGGGGGCAGCCAGAGTGACTGGGGTAGAAGACAGGGAATCAGATAACAATACAGTGTTGTAGGGTGGAGCCAGAGTGACTGGGGTAGAAGACAGGGAATCAGATAACAATACAGTGTTGTAGGGGGCAGCCAGAGTGACTGGGGTAGGAGACAGGGACACTGGGTACAGTGGGGCAGAGCAGGAGAGAGCAGAACACTGGGTACAGTTGGGCAGAGCAGGAGGAAGCAGAACACAGGATACAGTTGGGCAGAGCAGGAGAGAGAACACTGGGTACAGTTGGGCAGAGCAGGAGAGAGCAGAACACAGGGTACAGTGAGGCAGAGCAGGAGAGAGAACACTGGGTACAGTTGGGCAGAGCAGGAGAGAAAACACTGGGTACAGTTGGGCAGAGCAGGAGAGAGCAGAACACTGGGCACATCGGGGCAGAGCAGGAGAGAGAACACTGGGTACAGTTGGGCAGAGCAGGAGAGAGAGAACACTGGGTACAGTTGGGCAGAGCAGGAGAAAGCAGAACACTGGGTACAGTTGGGCAGAGCAGGAGGAAGCAGATCACTGGGTACGGTGGGGCAGAGCAGGAGAGAGAACACTGGGTACAGTTGGGCAGAGCAGGAGAGAGAACACTGGGTACAGTTGGGCAGAGCAGGAGAGAGCAGAACACTGGGTACAGTGGGGCAGAGCAGGAGGAAGCAGAACACTGGGTACAGTGGGGCAGAGCAGGAGAGAGAACACTGGGTACAGTTGGGCAGAGCAGGAGAAAGCAGAACACTGGGTACAGTTGGGCAGAGCAGGAGAGAGCAGAACACTGGGCACAGTGGGGCAGAGCAGGAGAGAGGGTACAGTTGGGCAGAGCAGGAGAGAGCAGAACACTGGGCACAGTGGGGCAGAGCAGGAGAGAGAACACTGGGTACAGTGGGGCAGAGCAGGAGAGAACACACTGGGTACAGTTGGGCAGAGCAGGAGGGAAGCAGAACACTGGTTACAGTGGGGCAGAGCAGGAGAACACACTGTGTACAGTTGGGCAGAGCAGGAGGAGCAGAGGCAGAGCAGGAGAGCAGAACACTGGGTACAGTTGGGCAGGAGAAGCAGGGTTAGTGGGGCAGAGCAGAACACACTGGTTACAGTGTGGGGGCAGAGCAGGAGAGTTGGGCAGGAACACTGAAGCAGTACACTGGGTACAGTTGGGCAGAGCAGGAGAGAGCAGAACACTGGGTACAGTGGGGCAGAGCAGGAGAGAGCAGAACACTGGGTACAGTAGAGCAGGAGTGGGGCAGTGGCAGAGCAGGAGAGAGCAGAACACTGGGTACAGTTGGGGCAGAGCAGGAGAGAGAGCAGAACACTGGGTACAGTGGGAAGCAGAGCAGAACACATTGGGTACAGTGGGGCAGGGCAGGAGAGAGAGCTGAACACTGGGTACAGTGGGGGCAGAAGGAGAGAGAACACTGGGTAGTTGGGCAGAGCAGAGAGAGAGCAGAACACAGGGTACAGTTGGGCAGAGCAGGAGGAAGCAGAACACTGGGTACAGTTCGGCAGAGCAGGAGGAAGCCGAACACAGGGTTCAGTGAGGCAGAGCAGGAAAGAGCAGAACACAGGGTACAGTGAGGCAGAGCAGGAGAGAGCACAACACTGGGTACAGTTCGGCAGAGCAGGAGAGAGCACTGGGTACAGTTGGGCAGAGGGGAGAAAGCAGAACACTGGGTACAGTGGGGCAGAGCAGGAGAGAGCAGAACACTGGGTACAGTGGGGCAGGCAGGAGGAGAGCAGAACACTGGGTACAGTGGGGCAGAGCAGGACAACACTGGGTACAGTTGGGCAGAGCAGGAGAGAGCAGAACACTGGGTACAGTGGGGCAGAGCAGGAGGAAGCAGAACACTGGGTACAGTTGGGCAGAGCAGGAGAGAGCAGAACACTGGGTACAGTTGGGCAGAGCAGGAGAGAGCAGAACACTGGGTACAGTGGGGCAGAGCAGGAGAGAGCAGAACACTGGGTACAGTTGGGCAGAGCAGGAGAGAGCAGAACACTGGGTACAGTGGGGCAGAGCAGGAGAAGCAGAACACTGGGTACAGTTGGGCAGAGCAGGAGAAAGCAGAACACTGGGTACAGTTGGGCAGAGCAGGAGGAAGCAGAACACTGGGTACAGTGGGGCAGAGCAGGAGAAAGCAGGACACTGGGTACACTTGGGCAGAGCAGGAGAGAGCACAACACTGGGTACAGTGGGGCAGAGCAGGAGAGAGAACACTGGGTACAGTTGGGCAGAGCAGGAGAAAGCAGAACACTGGGTACAGTTGGGCAGAGCAGGAGAGAGCAGAACACTGGGTACAGTGGGGCAGAGCAGGAGAGAGCAGAACACAGGGTACAGTGAGGCAGAGCAGGAGAGAGCAGAACACTGGGTACAGTTGGGCAGAGCAGGAGAGAGAACATTGGGTACAGTGGGGCAGAGCAGGAGAGAGCAGAACACTGGGTACAGTTGGGCAGAGCAGGAGAGAGAACACTGGGTACAGTTGGGCAGAGCAGGAGAGAGCAGAACACAGGGTACAGTTGGGCAGAGCAGGAGAGAGCAGAACACTGTGGCATATTCTTAAATCTTTACCCACCACAGAGCCTATCCAAATAGCCTTTGTTTTTTCAATATTCACTTTAAGGCCAGGTACGGTTTGTTTAATGCTGCTGTTTGCTTAACGTTTGTTTTATTCCAGCTATATCTGTAAATAATTGAGTCTGGACCAGACAATCCAGTGATCAACATCATGAGCATGGATATACATAATTGGCTTATGATGACATGTGTCAACCAAGTCAGTGAGCCTGGTCACCTGATCCCGTTAGTTGCCTCTTACGACAAGCATGAGTTACTGAAGACCAATTCTGTAGCTAACCTGGATCTTCAAGGGTCTTTTAAGACAAGACAAGTCATAAACTGTGCCTGCAGACTAGCATCAGAGCCATCAAGGAATATTTTGTTCATTCTGTGCAAATGCACAGCTTGTAGAGTTGACATATGTAATTCATATATTTTGTCATTTACATTTCAGTACAGTTGCCGGATAAAGGTACTTGGATTTATATCCAAATGTTGCTTTGAATGATTAAAAAACAATGTGAAATACATAAGTCAACTGGCTGTTCCAAACTTTAACGGTTTAGCATCCAGAACCCTCTTCATCAGTTTGTTCATTCCCGAAATACAGCATAATTTCAATACCTTTGGTAAAACATGGCAGCCATAAAACTGCCTGTTAAAATGTAAAATTTGTTTGCAAATGGAATAAGTGAACCAACCTTTTCATCAGGCTGGTGCATGACTGAATTGAGTCAACATGCACCCGACTTGCAACATCCACAATGTCATGCTCGCTTTGAAAATGTGAGGGAAATTTCGATCTTGCTACTTCTACCAGTCTGAAATGTCAACTATAGTTTGGCATGAAAGCGATATACTAAATTACCTTTCAATTTTTCTGCCTTACCTCTTATATGCAGAAATGTCAACTATAGTTTGGCATGAAATGCATGGGACCAATGACCTGTAACAGCGGTTCTTTGCTGCTGTTACAGGTCATTGGCTCCCTCCCTCTGCCAGCAGTCTTTGCGTTCTGCTGTTTATTTTGTTGGTTTATTTTTCACAATTTTTAGACAGTTACATAGACAGATTCTTTAATACAAATGCATAAAATCGGTGATTTACAATGTGATTAGGTTGTCTGACAAAACATCCACTTGCACAGTTTGAGATCGATTGGGTCATTGGATGAAGAGATATTTACAAAAAAGCGGGTCCACATGCATTTCATGCCAAACTATAGTTGTGCCTTGTGTTTGCAGACACCATGTTCTCTGGGAACTGGTTTACCTTCAGAGCTACGAACGAGCTACAGACTGTCATGACTTCAGTTCAATAACCACTGAAACATGTAAGTTAGACTGGGGGCATTCTGAACAATATGATTTCCAACACATTTGCAATCAGTTTCCCCGTCCTTAAATCAATTTGACTGCATACATCATGAACTATGGATCGTCGCAGTACACTAAACAGGTGTTCTTGACAGGACTGGATGGAGGTCTTGTGTAGACTTGTAAATCTTTGTGAACTGACATGACAAGAAACAAACCTCTCAGCGCTAAAAGCCCCTTCAGTGTCAATGTAGATGACTGATGTGTCTGTATCCCCTGACATGGCTGACAGAACGCTCAACATGATGCTGAACTGGGTCTTCCCACAGCCTGAAGGTCCAGCAATCTGAAAAACAGGAATCAGTCAGTAGATTGAGCCGACCTTCCACTTGACATGATGCTGAACTGGGTCTTCCCACAGCCTGAAGGTCCTGCGATCTGGAAAACAGGAATCAGTCAGTAGATTGAGCCGACCTTCCGCTCGACATGATGTTGAACTGGGTCTTCCCACAGCCTGAAGGTCCAGCAATCTCGAAAACAGGAATCAGTCAGTAGATTGAGCCGACCTTCCACTTGAAAAACAGGAATCAGTCAGTCAGAGATTGAGCCGACCTTCCACTTGACATGATGATGTTGAACTGGGTCTTCCCACATGAAGGAATCCAGTTCGAACTGGGTCTCAGTCCCACCTTCCACCTTGACATGATGCTGAACTGGGTCTTCCCACAGCCTGAAGGTCCAGCAATCTGAAAAACAGGAATCAGTCAGTAGATTGACATGATGCTGAACTGGAGGTCTTCCCACAGCCTGAAGGTCCAGCAACATGATGTTGAACTGGGCCTTCATACAGCCAGAAGCAGGGGTGGAAATAACTTTAATATTGCTAGTGTACTCCGGCACAGTGGCACATGTAAAATCACTTGCCCTGATAATTTTTCCACAATACCGTCCGATTTTGTTGTTGATTTTTTAAATAAGCAACTTAATTAACGTTGGAAAGTCAACTGGACACGGATACAGCTTCATACACAAATTTGCCAGCCCGACAGAAAAACACAGTGGACTAAACATCGGGCAATGGGTTATTTCCACACCTGCAGAAGGCCAAATGAATTGGAGTCACATGATATTCCATGTTTTTATCATGCCTGCAGAAATTGTGACATGGTGTCTAAGTGGGCTGGGACTAAAAACATCTACGTCAGGACAAGAATGACTAAACTGTCGATACCTACCGGGGTACTTACCCAGTTTCGATGACTAACGACAAATTTTATGATTAATGAACTTCATTACTATAATCTTTCAGATTTCAGTGTAGATTCTCATAAAATTTGAAAATTGTTGGTAATTCATACTATCTTGTCATCATACAAACATATCCAAACACTTTATGACACAAAAAGATCACGTTTTCAACTTGTTAACACTTTGCGGAATCTGTCATAATTCGGACTTCCATTTTCAAAGGTGTTCTTTAGTTTTAAATTGAATCTAATCAAATTCACACAACAAAACAAAATACTATTATCTCCAATAAAAACAACTGACCTCTGGAAAAGAGTTACCTCCCCTTGATCACCTCACCTCTGTGATAGTTCCTGCTGGCAGCCCCCCATGTAGAACCTTGTCCAGGTCGGCTAAAGTTGTGGGAAGAAAGGCAGATTTGCTCTCACTGCGGCCATGCAATAGTTGAAGCCCCTGTTAAACATCATCTAAAAAGTGTGATTAACATCATTTTGCTGTTTTTCAATGTTAAGTCCAGTAAAGCTATTTATGACACCTGACACAAAAATCAGGAGATGATATTTCCCCTTGGACTGTTGTACATAAAAATATGCTTAAAATTATGCATAGAAATTATGGGTAGGGAAGGGGGGGTAATTGATTTTGTACATGACATGCAGGGGGTCACTTATTTTGTACATAAATTTTAGGGGGGGTGTCGTTCACATTGTACAACCTTCTCCATAAAAATCATCAGCACCCCCATAGCCATATATTATGAACTGTCCCTAAAGTCCAACTTGTCATAATAACAAAATATTTTTTCCAAAAAACATAAATTGGAAACAGACAGCAGATTTTGAAATAGACCGATGGACTATCGATCACCATATCCCGCCATTACACAAATCTGTGGGATAAAAATTATTAAAACCCAAACGAAGTGACTTGTGTTTGAGGAGCCCTGTGTTTGAGGTGACTTGTGTTTGAGGAGCCCTGTTTGAGGTGACTTGTGTTTGAGGAGCCTTGTGTTTATGAAGCCCTGTTTGAGGAGCACTGTTTGGGGTGACATGTTTGAGATGACTTGTGTTTGAAGAGCCCTGTGTTTGAAGAGCCTTGTGTTTGAGGAGCCCTGTGTTTGAGGAGCCCTGTGTTTGAGGAGCCTTGTGTTTCAGGAGCCCTGTGTTTGAGGAGCTCTGTGTTTGAGGAGCTCTGTGTTTGAGGAGCTCTGTGTGAGGAGAGGTTTGAGCTCTGTGTTTGAGGAGCTGTGTGAGGAGCTTTGAGAGAGCTCTGTGTTTGAGATGACTTGTGTTTGAAGAGCCCTGTGTTTGAGGAGCCTTGTGTTTGAGGAGCCCTGTTTTGAGGAGCTCTGTGTTTGAAGAGCCCTGTGTTTGAGGAGCCTTGTGTTTGAAGAGCCTTGTGTTTGAGGAGCTCTGTGTTTGAGGAGCTGTGTGTTTGATGTGCCCTGTGTTTGAGATGACTTGTGTTTGAAGAGCCCTGTGTTTGAGGTGCATTGTGTTTGAGGAGCTCAGTGCTTGATGGACTGACCGTGACAGGTGGGGGTATGCAAGCCTGGCAGCACTGGTCGATGATGTCTGTAACTGTGAGGTAGCCACATCCCGTCAGTTTCAACAACTCCAGTGTCGATCGTGACAAGACGTCCTGAAAGATTTTAAAATCCTGAAAACTGTACAACCTTTACCAGCATCATTACTTCTAAAGCTTGCTCTGGTGGAAACTACCACAACTCTAATGTGGGTCTTGATTATCTGCTTCAGAACCAAGTTAACTGAGGTTCCTGAAAGGAAACCTGTTATGATTCACTTAAAATGATGGAAAGACTTCCGCCCGTATCCCCCCTTAAATTTCATTCTAGTCAAATAATATCACCTGAAAATATATTCCTCATCTGATAAGGATGAGTTTTAACATGTTTCTTTAATTGTATCTGAACATACTGAAAGACATAACTTCTGAAAATGCCACTCAAAAAAATCTTTCCTCATCGTTAAAATTTAGGGCGGATAAGGGCGGAAGTCTTACCAAAATGACACAATGAAATTACAATATGTGGTCAAAGGGACTTTTGTTATTTATGTTAAAGAAAATCAAAGAGTTTATCTTAAATATAGTTAAAGCACCATAAAATCCTTACGCCCCCTTTATTAATAATCTGCTCTCATTTTCTTTACGTGATACTGAACGCGTACTGACAGGTGCTTCACCTACACGACACGATCCAATATTATGCTGTGTAAGTTTTTCAAGTGCTTCCTTTGGTAGATTAAGTCGCTTCAATCGTTTAGAAGACATCGCTATCACAACATCTTCGAATCCATCCTGGTTCCCGGGCCTCTCATTGGTTTGTATAGACCAATGAGAGGCCCGGGAACCAGGATGCTTCAAATCTAGCGGGAAACTCTCCAAGGGAAGTAACTCAAATGCTCGTTTGTCATGACCTCTCACAGAAATAGCTTTAGTTCAGAGATGCTGAAATATGTTCGAACCCAACGTCCATCATATTATGAATGTTGATTGCCTTGTTGTTGTTTTTTATATTACATCTACTTTTCATAACAATTGGAAAGAATAAAATAATATAGATATACAAATTGTACAGGAAACAATTCAAATCCAACACTGTCAAGACATTGTGAGGCCAACAGTGTGAAACGACCCCAAATTTTGTTTTATCATCTCAAGTTGTTATATTTCGATTAGTTGTTGCATTAGTTGTGTGTGCTTAGGTTAATTACCCAAGCAGCTGGAACAGAGCCCACGCAAGTCTAGAAAATGTGACAAGTCTAGAGCTTCTGAAAATGAAGAAAGTCTCAGGGCTCCTTTTTATTATATTTTATTCTTTTTACTATGAGCTTTTTTTGTAAAATATGTTCATTTCAGAGACTAGTTGTTAGTCTAAGGAATGTGATAATCCCGAACTTTTCTGTGGGTTTCTAGACACGCTGCTGTGTCACCCACATTCTCTCTCCACATCATTTATCACTTCTTTCTGTATGTAATTATCTCCGTGTGATTCAGGTATCACACCTATGATCATATAAACTTTATGTATGTAATTATCTCCGTGTGATTCAGGTATCACACCTATGATCATATAAACTTTCTGTATGTAATTATCTCCGTGTGATTCAGGTATCACACCTATGATCATATAAACTTTCTGTATGTAATTATCTCCGTGTGATTCAGGTGTCACACCTATGATCATTTAGGTTGATCTTTATCATCCATATGATCAGTTGTACAAATAGGTATTAATAATAATAATAATAATAATAATAATAAGTAATAATTAAGGAACTAGTTATGTGTAGCTGTACGTGTTGCATGTATAGATTAATGTACATTATATTTACATATATTATGTTGTGTTATCAGTTTTATGACATGGTGATTGACTGATTTATTGAGTGATTGATACTGTGGACTAAATGTCACCTCTACACACACCAGCAGCCTGTCATTTGTTGACTCACCCATGAAACAATGCTATTGTAATATGCAGCAAGAGGAATATGGGAAATACACAATAATTTTCATTTTACTATGCTTGTCGTAAGAGGCGACTAACGGGATCGGGTGGTCAGGCTCGCTGACTTGGTTGACACATGTCATCGGTTCCCAATTGCGCAGATCGATGCTCATGCTGTTGATCCCCGGATTGTCTGGTCCAGACTCGATTATTTACAGACCGCCGCCATATAGCTGGAATATTGCTGAGTGCGGCGTAAAACTAAACACACTCACTCACTCACTAGTACACGACACAGACAATTTTTCCCAGATATTCTCACCACAAAGCATGCACTATTCCTCAATGTACGCATATATAACTGTTAATCCCTCAAAATACGAAAATGATTTGACATGAAACAGGAGAATGTTTGTGCTTGTTAACAATGATCATTTTGGGTTGAAGGAGTGACCGAGGCATGCAACTGTTATAAAATATTCAGTATTTGAGAATCAACAACAATGGATATGAATGTGAAGGTGCACAGAGGCGATGTGACAAGAGAGACGAGCGTCAGATGCTGCAGCTACAACACCCATACATTTAGTTCAAGGTGTCTGTATTTCTTTTACAAACTGTGTCAATTTCCCTATTTTAATAAAACACTCAGTATTTAAGGACACATCGAGACAATATTACATAAATGCTACATCCTCCTGACACTTATATATTTGAGGCAAGTTCTGAATGAGTGAGTTCAATTTTACGCCGCATTTAGCAATATTGCAGCAGTATAGCCTAGAAATGGGCTTCACACAATGTACCCATGTGGGTAAATTGAACCCAGGTCTTCAGCGTGACAAGCGAACGCTTCAACCCCTAGGTTACCCCACCGCCCCGCAAGTTATGACACAAGGACATACTGACAGGTAATGATACTCGTCAGCAATTTTGTTTTCATTATGGGGCGGTGGGGTAGCCTAGTGGTTCAAGCGTTCGCTCGTCACGCCGAAGACCCGGGCCTCAATTCCCCACATGGGCACAATGTGTGAAGTCTCCCGCCGTGATATTGCTGGAATATTGCTAAAAGCGGCGTAAAACTAAATAAACTCACTCACTACTTTCAGTGACATATTACAGCGACAATTAATTATGTGGCCTTTTTTGGTAACGTAAGGTTAGTTGATAATCAATATTGGAATGCAAAGTCTTAAAGGCAGTGAAAGCAGACGGCTTTCTAACTTCCATTTTCACCAGAACATTGCCTTGGGAGAGTTTGTCTGTTAACCTGTCAATATCTGGCTAATCTGATCAAAGAAAGGTTCATAAACAACGCATTATACAGTACAACCAGAAATTATTGAGAATTTAAAGATTGTAATTTTGTATATCTTTTTCACTTTTACTCACGTATTAATGTGAATATTAGCAGAACATAACTCCAGATTGAAAGACAGGTGAACAGTTAGTATTTTTGTCAAGTCACCATGGGCAGCAATGCGAGGCTTCAATGCGGCGGGGCATACTACTGCTCAAAGAAGTTAGAAAGTCGTGGTCCATGCTGTCCCAGTATCGGACCACCTCTTCTTTCATTTCAGCAATATTTGTCAGATTTTTCTTATTGACACTTTCCTTCATAAGTCCCCAAACATTTTCTATTGGATTTAGTTCAGGGCTATAGCTTGGCCAATCTAATAATGTCATATTTTGGGTCCGAAACCAGGCCTGTGAATGCTTTGAACGATGTTTTGGGTCGTTGTCCTGCTGGAAAATCAAAAATTTCCATAGAACACGTGAGCAGATAGAAGTAAATGTCCCTCGAGAATATCTGTGTACCGCTCACTGTTCATATTCCCTTCAAATACACAGAGGAGCGTTGCCCCCAACACAGATATGCCACCCAAGCGTTAAATTTCGGACTGTACTTTGGGCGCTGATACAAAGGGTTTTCAGTTTGTTTGGTCCAGAATTTCAGTGTATTAGGAAACAGCCACACAGAACTTTCATCTGAGAAAATCACATTGTCCCAGTTCAAATTTCTATGCTGTAAGCACCACTTCAACCTTCGCTCCTTTTGTTCAGGTTTCATGATCGGTGATGGAATTCCTCGACTTTTCTGCCGACCCACTGCATGCAGCTCAGGTCTAATTGTGTCCTTACATAAGCCACAGTTCCCCTATCAATCATATCCAGCCTTAAGTTTTCTAAACTCCTTTTTTTGTTTTTAGAAACAAGAATACCAAGCCGCCTCCTGTCACCGACAGTCAATTTTCTGGGCCTACCTGCGCCTCCCTGGTGCTCAATGCCATATCCATTTGCAATATTTTTCAAAACACGATAAACAGTGGACAAAGGGATGCCTGTTCTACTTGAAATCACTTTAGCTGATCTGATGTCCTTGTTATAATACTCTAAAATCAACTTCCTCTTCTCTAAATCATCCATACTGAGGATCACTGAAAATGTCGTCTGCTAGCAATTAAAAAAGGGGGATAACTCTTCACTAACTAATGAAAAAGGATTAACGGAGTTGTCTCTCTTGAATGAAACCAAGCACTTGATAGCTGGTCAAGGTTTGTTATACTAGAAATCCAATTAAACATATTCCTAAAATTCTCAATAATTTCTGGCCATACTTTACAAGGTTTTAGAATGGTGACAGCACAGGTTTAGCGATACTGTTCAACAGTGGCCAAGGAGAAAATGGAGCAGTTTCCATGCATGTTCTATGGGTTTAAGATCAGGGGAGCAGGGGTGGGTCTACTACAGGGGAGCAGGGGTGGTCACTACAATGGAACAGGGGTGGTCACTACATGGGAACGGGGTGGTCACTACATGGGAATGGGGTGGTCACTACAGGGGAACAGGGTGGTCACTACATTGGAACAGGGTGGTCACTACATGGGAGCAGGGTGGTCACTACAGGGGAGCGGGTTGTCACTACAGGGGGCAGGGTTGTCACTACAGGGGAACGGGGTTGTCACTACAGGGGAACGGGTGGTCACTACATGGGAGCAGGTGGTCACTACAGGGGAACAGGGTGGTCACTACAGGGGGAACAGGTGGTCACTACAGGGGAACAGGGTGGTCACTACAGGGGAACAGGGTGGTCACTACATGGGAACAGGGTGGTCACTACATGGAACGGGGTGGTCACTACAGGGGAACGGGGTGGTCACTACAGGGGAACAGGGTGGTCACTACAGGGGACAGGTTGGTCACTACATGGAACGTGGTGGTCACTACATGGGAACGGGTGGTCACTACAGGGGAACAGGTGGTCACTACATGGGAACAGGTGGTCACTACATGGAACAGGGTGGTCACTACAGGGGAATGGGGTGGTCACTACAGGGGAACAGGGTGGTCACTACAGGGGGACGGGGTGGTCACTACAGGGGAATGGGGTGGTCACTACAGGGAACGGGGTGGTCACTACAGGGGAATGGGGTGGTCACTACAGGGGAATGGGGTGGTCACTACATTGGAACGGGGTGGTCACTACAGGGGAATGGGGTGGTCACTACAGGGGAATGGGGTGGTCACTACATGGAACGGGGTGTCACTACAGGGGGATCGGGGTGGTCACTACATGTGCTCATTTGTTTGTGTTTGCGGATAGTGTTCCACGACCCTTGCACGATGTGGATGTGCCAAGTCGTCCATAAGGATGAAATCATCCCCGATAGTTCCTGCGTAAGGTCTGACATGAACGTCCAGGATCTCATCTCTGTTGCGAATCCCGGTCATAGTCCCATTTGCAAGAACATGCAGATCGGTTCTACCGTCCCAGCGGATTCCACCCCATGCCATGATGGCGCCACCTCCATATCTGTCACGTTTAACATGGTTAACATCTCCGAATGTTGACCCTGTCTTCTCCATGTTCTTTCATGCCCATGTCATGTCCAGGCAGTATCTGGACTCTCTTCGGGCTGTTTGTGTTGCCATGGTAACACTGCGGTTAATGGGGAGCCCAGATCTTAACCGTAACACTTTCCTGTCATTATGTTTGAGAGCTTGAATGTAAAGACACGTGGTCACCCGTGGCGTCATTGACCTTTCTCGACCTCCACTTTATCTGTTACGGAACCAGAAATGACAAAGGACAGTTTGAGCGGAGTTGCGAGCTCAGACACACACGAGGTGACTACAGCGCCAGGTGAACATCAGGGCGCTTTCTACATCCCGCTCATGGTCTTCCTTATGTTATAACAGGATTGGTGGAAGCAGCTCGCTTGGTAGAGGCAACAATTACACAACCAATCCACACAACAACACAAGACTTGAATGAATAAACAAAATAGGTTTA